TCCGAATATGATCAATTTGAAAAATAAATGTTTTGTTACATGCATTTAATGTACATTTGTATCCTGATCAGATGTTTGATGCAGCCCAACATGTATACAGAGCTGATGCGTAATATTAACCCTAACGGTCGTCAATCCTCCAACAGGTGAACGATTGAGGACTGTTAGGGTTAAAGTATGTACAGTATACACGTGATAGAGCATCACATTTATACAGTACACATGGTACATGTACTGACATTGTCACTTCAATATTGTGCATTGAGTGCACACACATACATGTACATGTATATTGACCATCATCTCACCGGCACTGCTTTTATAGCTAAAACTGTTTTGAAAAAATATGATTCCACCCACGTTCCAATTTTCTATTTGATGTGGAAAGGACAACATTTATTGTTATTGAGCCTTGTAGCATGCGATCATGATAAATCCCAGGGCAGATTTGGTGATATCCTTACCGGATACATGGAAAAGACTCGAGAGTGATTGACACCAGCTAATTAAGATGCCGTTACCGTGGTAGCACTACACTCAAGCACAGGCATGAGTTGAAGCAGCGTACACGGTCCATGGGCAAACTGTAATACCCCTTTAGTCAAAAATATGCACCCACACCACCTGCATGTGAGCTTGATGTCACGACAGTAGTGACTTCCAATTGTAGTTGTCGAGTCAAGAGCTGTTTCTCAGGAACAGTGCAGGGCCTCTGATTCTAGAGGCAAGACCAACTCTGCCCAAAACAAGCCACCTCCAAGGCTTGTGTGTAGACCTAGGTTATAATCTTCACATTTATTGACACATTACTGTCTACAATTCATTCGTGTCTAACTTGAAGATGTGGCATGGCAGTGCCTTATTGGACATCAAGGGGCAGTCATGAATACCAAATAATGAATAAACCTCAAGTGGGAAACTATTCACTGACAATCTTGGAATATTCTCTATCTTGATTGTTGGACTATTGGTTAACATCTTTAAATAGTTGGTCATTTTATTGGGGAGAGGTAATCAAGACTGCTGCATTTCCTTATTTTGTTCAAATAAGAAGGCCAACCATTTCTCAAAATATTATTACATTGCAGTATTACACAAAGTCAGGGCTGCCAGGCCGAGCTTTAGAGGAAAACATCTGCGCCGTGTGTGGCCAGAAGATTTACATACCCGATGAGGACGAAGAAGTGGTTGAACGAGTCTATGAGCTGACGTGCAAACACAGGTGAGACGCACCCAAGTTTTCCTACGAGTTTCAGGGAGGGACTGGGGCCCGTGGGTTTGTACATGTATGTACATGTACAGTATGTAAGTCCCTCTGGATTATTGATACTCTTGAGTTTTCTGAGTTCTTGGGCAGTCTTTAAGGATCTCTTTGAGTCGGCACGTCTGAGTCTGAGTGGACGTTCAGACTCGCAGGGGACATTGGCCAATAAACCTCTAACCCCCCAAAATCCTGTTTCCCTACCCACCCTATTTGTGTAGAATGACCCCAAATTTTTGGGGGGGAGGAGTGGGAAAAAGTTTGAGAAAATTTCACATTGAAAATGAAGGAAAAAGTGAATCTCTTTTAGTTTGTGGTACTAAAGGTTCAACAGACTTATTTTTCAGAGGGTTGTCCATTTCGTTTGAAACAACCGTCACTTGGCCTCTCTCGCTGTTGTGTTTTTTTAACCAGTTGAAACACTTAGCTTCACATGAGCAATCAGTACATGACCAAGTGCCAAACAAACCTGTGTTTCCTCTCCACTCGCCCTGTTCTCAGATGCCATGGAATGGGAGGCAGTACTATTTCTTTATTTTGGTGGGCAAATAGAAATGATGAGTTTTCTGTTCTTTATAGATTGCCCTATTCAACTGCCAGAATTCAACTGCTCTCAGCAGTGGCACAATATTCAGGGCCAAAAGGGGATGTTCTTGATGAGGGAATATTTTCCATCAACCAGAGTCCATTATAGCGGCATTCTGTTGTGCATTTTGGCATCACAGCAGAAAGAGTATTACTTTTGTTTATAAGAAGTCCCTCGTACTTTGCAGATAACAGGAATCTTGTATCTCCAGAAAAGACAACAACAAAGAACAAAGAAGTGGGGCATAAAAGGTTCCTTGTTAAAAGCAGAATATTATATTAAGAGTGCTTTCACAATGAATTTTGACTGTGTAGACTAATCCGATTAGATGCCATATAACCGCGGCGGCACCACACTTTACACGTACTAGTACATGTACTGTACATTCTTCAGCTTGATGAGTACAAACACATCACGACACCCTGTTGCTCGAAGAGGCACACGCATGTAACATGGGCGCATACCACCTGCCCACGAGCCTTGTGCCACTGCAGTAATGGCATCTAATGGTTGCCAATTGACATTCAAAGTCAGCACTGTTCAAATGTCCGTCTGTAGGCCTTGTTGCAGGGTCCCGTAACTCCTCTACCAGATAATGCATACATGTACCGGTACATGTACATTGTTTCTTTTTGCAACTGTATTTAATGGCTTTTATTTCTGGTTATGGCAGATTCCACGAGTTCTGCATACGAGGCTGGTGCATTGTGGGTAAAAGGCAAACCTGCCCCTACTGCAAGGAGAAAGTGGACTTGAAAAGGATGTTCAAAAACCCGTATCCTTTGGAAGCAGAATATGGTGGAAGAAAAAGTGCACTACATTTGGTGCAGAATGATTTCAAGGGCACCGTACTAAGTGCACTTGTGAAAAATGGCAGAAGGGGCACTTGTGACATTGGAGGTAAAACAAGTCTCTTATGGAGAAAAGGGTATTGGTTACAATATACTGGAGCTACAGGAAAAAAGGCACATACCTCAAACTGTTGGGAGGTTAAAACTTAAATGGGTACCTGTTGGGAGAGTGCACTTGTTACATTAGGTGCCATTATAGGATGCTACAGATAGGCTTTTCTACAACAGCCAAGTCAACTATTTGGGAAATAGGCGATTAAGTTACTGGTTAGCAGCGAACCAGATGTACATGTATCTCATTAAACTCATGTTTTTGAGACCAAGTGAAATGGTCTTACCATTGGTTTTTAGAGCCCAAGGATTTATCAAGGGAATGTTCATATCATCAGAGTATGACACATACTCGTCTGGTAGCATTTACTCCTATTTGCTCGCATGATAAAAAAATTTTTCTTCAGTTACATGCACTCTGTTGAGTTTGTTCTGTTTTTACCTCTCAACAATTTAGTATATCCCTGTACGTGCTATTCCTTGACCTCTCCAACAGATGGGAACGGCCGCATGTCATGTTCGGTCAGCTTCTGGACTGGATTCGCTACCTCGTTGCCTGGCAACCAGTCATCTTTTTAGTGGTCCAAAGCATCAACTATGTATTAGGGCTGGAGTGACAGTTCAGGAGAAATGCAGTCGAAAAGTTTGCCATTTCAGTGAAGTACTTTGTTGGGGTTTAGTTTTATACAGTACCTACATAAATCCTTGACATATAATGGATGGAGTGATGATCACATGTCATCGAATTATTTGTTGTATTCAACAGCACCCGCTGAATAGAACTTAATATTTCATTCTGGAAAAGAAAAGAAAACAAATAATGTAGGGACAGGAACCAGTCTAACAGTGCATTGTATTAGTAAGCACTACCATTGTGGTTGCTGTGCTTCAGACGCGATTTTCTTTTGCAGGATGGCAGAGGTAAATACATGAGGACCATTTGTTCCAACAGGAAAGGGATTTATGCAGGTGTCGTTTAAAACAAACACTGTTTCACATTCATGCAATAGTAAGAACATTTTCATTCGTTGACAGATGAAATCTTCCATTCTACTCAGCTTTGCCTCATGAAATGGAACACTTCATCTCTCACCTCAGGAAATTATCCTTACCATTGCATTTATGAAATTATTTGTATAAGACATGTTGTTTCCCACACCCTGTTTGTCTCTGTGTCTGTCTCTCTGTGTCATTTTCTGGGCAAGACCAAGTCTGAGAACATTTTATATCCTTTGTAATGAAATTTCAGTCCAACAGAGGTTTTTCCTCTGGTACCATAGCCCTAAAAACATGATGTCTCGTTTTGTTTACGTACATGTACGTTCACTTTCCTATGGGGACTCAGTGGATCGTGTCCAACCTCACTGCCATGAAAGCTCACATGTGAATGAAGTGTGATGTCATCATCTTACCAGTCTCTTGGTGCCCATTTATTCTCTTGGACAGAAGGGTCAAATGCCTTGCTCAGGGACACGGGCCATGGCCTTCAGTGGGAATCAAACCCATGACTCCTCTGAATAAGAGCCACAAGCCCTTATGGCCCTGTGGGACGGCTCAAACTCTTCAAAGTTTAGAAAAAAAATTGAAATCTGTTCTAGCTTTCCATATCCATCTCCTAACCACCTCCACCCCACCAACCCCCCCCCTTTGAACACATCCTACAGTATCACTGCCCAACTTACATGCACTGACAATGAACACAGGGCTGCACTCGAAATCTCCATCTGGCCTTCTCACTTCTAAACCCCCACTTATTTTCAGATGCCCCGTAGTGTTATCTAAGTGTGGTGTAAATCTTATGCTTTATGGCAAATAATTGATGTTAAAGGTTTTGTTATGTGGTTGTCATATATTGTCTCCTAACTTCTTGTGTAGCAACTAATGCCTAATATTATAAAATACCATTATTAATCCCATCCTTGAAGGCCAGTTCAAACTGAAACGTGTCAGTGTAAGAGACAGCTTTCTTGTGGCGTTGGCTTCAGTGTTTCTCTCCAACTCAAATGTTTTTGGCTGGAAATGTTTTGTGACGTCGAATTTGCTTCACTTTCATGTTCGCCTTAAATCGAGCTGGCCTTCACTATGCTCAGTCTGGTAGGAGATGTCTTTGTCCCATTATGATATTGTTTTGTAGCATTTGAGGGAATTCTAAAAGAGGATGGGCCAGATAAGCTCCCGGACATGTGGTTGTATCTGTGATGTCTCAGTGCCCAAGTTATGGTGGCCTTTTTCACAAGTCGACCATATTGAGGTAAACGCGAGGTTAGTTTCTTTAATTTGGGAACCTGAGAATAAAAATGAAAGCAATGAAATGAAAGTTCATTACAAAGTTATATTACCCCTCCCCCAATAAATAATTCTTAACTCTTAATTAATTATATAGTTTTAAACAGGAAGGAAAGTGAGGCATGGAACCTCCAAATAGTCTGGCACTCTCCCATTTAGCAGATTACATTAATAAGTTGGGTTTAGGGAACATGATCTAAATGGCGTCCTTGTATAAATAAAATGTGTCTTTCCTCCACGGTCTGTCACAAAGGCCGAGTCCGAAACGGGCTTACAGAGCTATAGTCTGTCTGCGCATCTCTGTGTACTGTATTTCAAATGGAGGGAATACCTAGACCTTAGCTCTAGACATACAGATGCAGCTACTTTAAAGTACAGAGTCCGCATCCCCATGCAGTCGAACCCAAACGTTATTGCGCCCCCCCCCCCGCTTACATGTACTTTCTTCCCGATCTTGCCTTCTCTTGCTGTATCTCAAATTTATTTTTGATTCTCACATATTTAGGACCACTTTGATGGCTAGAAATGTAACATTTTGCATAGGCAGTTCACTGAGACTCGGTCTTTTTTAAATTTGAAGGCATCTACATGTAGGTAAAATGATACATCTATAATCTAAGTTTTGGTATTTTTGTAATTTAACAAAGAGCAGAATCGAACCATTATTGATTAATTAGAGAGTGGTCCTTAATTTTTTAGTTTTGACACAGGCAGACTAAATAACATGGATCTTTGAACATTTTCTCTCAACCTCAGAAGCAGAAAGCACCTAACTATTAAGATCTTGACCTCAGTGATTAAGCCAACCAATGGTCAAGGGGGTGTTCTTTGAGATGATGTCCCCATAGCAATAGACATGGCTCCCAGACTGCAGCTGATTGTCCAGATACACGGAGTAGTTGGAATCCATTATATCCTAATGTGCGCGTGGTGCCAGTTTCCGAAGTTGGCTATCAAGTTGTTACCAAGTTCCACACTCTGGGACTTTCTGCGGTAAGTACACCACCAATCATCTGACCGCCGTTTTCAGATCCTATACAGATCTCCGATGAAGAATTGAGGCGGTAGCCGGTGTTGACAATTCCCTGGTAGGTGTCTCTAGATCCAACCCATTTGAATCAGACGCTGATGCTGAACTGTGACCCCACGGGACAGTTGCTGAAAGCCTCCACCTTAATCATGCCGTCTTTGACGGCGGCTTCACCACACTTACCATCAGCATAAGTGATTTGGCCACCCCTGCTCTCATTACGGTGGTTCACCATTGAATCAGACAGGTCATCCTCGAACGCAAGATGAGCTGTCAATGAAAATACAGAAAGGCGATTCTCTAGATCTTCTACTAGCATCAAGTTCCTATAGAGGAGATCTTTCGGAATGCGTCCATCATCCATCCAGTGAACATAGTCGAGCCAGTGCTTCCGTCTGTGGCAAAGAAGAGTGACCATTGAAGGGATGCCTGCTCTGGAGAGGACCTCGTTGTTTGTCACTTTATCCTGCCACTTCACTAAGAAGATCTTGCGCAGACATGTCATATGGAACACCTAGAGTTTCCGTTCATGGGTGGAATACGTTGTCCATGACTCACTGCCATATAGGAGAGTACTGACCATACAGGCTTTGTAGACGTTGACTTTGGTAAAGATGGTAAGATGTTTGTTGTTCTAGACCCTCTTTATCAGTTTGGAGAGGATGGTGGATGCCTTTCTCATTTGCTTGTTTACTTCAACATCAAGTTGCTGAAGTAGAACCAAGATACTGGAAGTGGTGGACAACCGCTAGGTCTTCTCCTTTGATGGTGATGCATGGTGGCACTGGAGTGCCTTGGCCCATGACCTGAGGCTTCTTGAGGCTAATGGTGAGTCCGAATAGATCACAAGAATCCAAGAACCTGTCCTTTAATCTCTAGAGCCCAGCCTGACTGTGGGATGCTATAGGAGCATCATCTGCAAATAGCAGGTCTCTGATGAGGAAGGTCCTGATCTTGGATTTGGCACGTAGTCTTGCATAATTGAGACTGCCATCGGATGTTGAATGTAGGTATACACCATCTGCTGAGGATTTGAAGGCATGCTTAAGGATCAGGGCGAAGAAGATACCAAACTGAGGAGTTTGGGTGGACAGCCAATAAGGGGAGCATCTTAAATAGTCCATCTCTGCTCACGAGGTCAAAAGCTTTGGTTAGGTCTATGAAAACCAGGTAGAGGGGCTGGTTTTGCTCTATGGATTTTCTTGAAGTTGGCGGAGTGAAATGGTCATGTCCACTGTTGACTTTTTTGAATGGAAACTGCACTGTGACTGTGGGTATATTCTGTTTGCAAGGGCTTGCAACCTGTATAGCACAATGTGGGTGAACAATTTTCCAACAGTGCTTAACAGTGATACAGCACTATAATTATTGCAATCACTGCGGTCTTCTCTATTCTTGTACTGGGTGATAATGTTAGCATCCCTCATGTCTTGGGGAACTTCTCCCACTGCACACCACTTTGTAAGGAGCTTGTGCAGAGTCAAGAGCAGGCTTGATTTACCGCACTTGATGACTGCAGCTGAAATGCAGTCCTTCCCTGGGGCCTTCCCGGATGGCAACCTGTCTATGGCTTTGGAGAGTTCTTCAATGGTAGGTTGCTCATCCAGTTCGGACATCATGGGAAGATGGTCGATGGCGTCTAAGGCAGACTGTTGAACAAGATTTTCCCTGGAGTATAGTTTGGAGTAGTACTTTACCCAGCGATCTAGCTGTTTGGCTGTGTCTGTGATGACCTTTCCTGATTTTGTTTTCAACGGGGCTGTTTTGCAGACTCTAGGGCCAATCACAGTCTTGATACCGTCATACATATTCCTGATGTTTCCTGTGTCCTGCTGGATGGTACTGCAAAGGTCAGGTTAAAAGTTAATGCAGGACCTGACTGCTTTCTGGACTTCAGTTCTGGCTGCCTGAAGACCTTTGTGAGACTCTGGTGAAGGCTTGTTTTTGTACGTTTGCAGGGTGGCACGCTTGGTTTCGATGAGAGGGTCGAGAATGCTGGAGCTGGAATCATAGCAGTCATTGGCCTGTGATCGCTTCCCTCTTACCAAACACAATGACGGCAGTGGAATGGATGGAGTGCTTTAGTTTGTACCATTGGTTGGTGGATGATAAGTCGTCCTGTCCCGTAAAAGTAGAGGTGAGTAGCGTTTGAAATTTGGTGGAGAAGTTAGGATGTTTGGCCTTACTGACTTCAATACGACCCTTGGCTTCTTGCTTGGCACAGCAGAACTTCTTTGGCTGTAGTCTGACCTTGCAGCAGACAAGGGAGTGGTCACTGTCACAGTCAGCGATATGGAAGGTTCTGGTGACCCGGAAGTTCTTTTGCTGTGGCCATCTGGTGAGGATGGGGTGAAGTTGATGCCAGTGTTTTGATCTTGGATGTCTCCAGGATACTCTGTGGCACTGTTTAGTGCTGAAGTATATGTTTGTGATACACAAATCGTGGTAAGAGCAAAGCTCTAAGAGCCGCTGACCATTGTTGTTGCACTTGCTGATTCCAAAGTGCCCAAGACATGTGGGCCAGGCATCGTTATTGCTGCCAGCGCGAGCGTTAACGTCTCAAGCGTTAACCAGCTGGCTGTAGAAGGCGTCCTTCGCCTCGTCGAAGCCATGAAGGTCAAGGCGTGGGCGCTCAACAGGTTAATGGGTCCAGCTGTGGTGCTGAGCTGTAGAAAGAGTAACCACTCTGGCTGTACTACCAAGCTGGACCATGTCAAGAAGAGAGTTTCTCACTGCGAAGCCCACACCGTGCTCTTGCACTTCCTCCTGCTTCTTGCCCTGCAAAAAGAATGTGTAGTCGGACTCCTTAAGGCTTCCTGAATCGGCAAGTGGGTTTCCTGTAAGGCGGTGGTGTCTGTTTGGAGACGCAGCAGCTCCTCGTTGATGATTGAGGTCTTCCGCGGGTTCGAGACAGATTGGATGTCCCTAGACAGGCCAGTCAGCGTTGTTCTTACATTCCAGCTCCCAAACCTGAGAACCGGTGTTTTTATTGTTGCTTTCCTATTTTTCTTGTTTTTGCTTGGTGCTTTGTTTACTGTCCACTTGTCGGTTTTATCCCTGCACACCCAGTGAGGCAGGTGGCCAGTGGCAGGACAGCACCTTGTTGACTGAGGGCTGCTCAGCTTAAGGCGGGTGGTAGCTGTCCAATGAAGTTGTGAATTCCAAGTCTGACTGCTTTGATCGGTGGAAATTCCGTACACGTTATGCAAGATCATGTCGTTCATATGCAAATATGAAAAGCTACATATCACCAACGGGGGGTTCAGTTGGCTCATCCGTCAAGTCAGACTTACTGAATGGGGGACTTGCACGTATAACACACGTTGTACAATAAAGGCTTATGAGGGCGCCTTATATAAGTTATGCGACAGCCCGAGCGCTATGACTGTGTACAGTCTGCGATTTTTTTACGTACCATATATTCGCTATGGGTGCAAAGAGTAGTCTTTGATAAATATACTGATTACTTTTTCAGTCTCACTCATGAAGAATGGTTTATAAAAAATCCGTTGAGATAGGGGACAACCCCCCCCGCTTGATACGCCACTACACGTACAATACTTTCTTGCAAGATTCATATATTATAAGAAAGTCTACAAATTGTGGAATTTGTCTAGCTTTTTTGTCTTCTTTCCTGTTTATCAACTAATGGTGAACTATGAATTTCAAAGCCTTCATCCTCTATCCCATCTGGAAAAATGCAGAAGCTGAGACAAAATGATAATGAAATTTGTGCTCTAAATCAAAATAATTATTAGTGAATATGATTTATCATTTCCAGTAAATCACGCCCGACTGGCTCTCCACAAGCACAACCGTGGAGACCTCGAAATCGCTTAAAGATGGGAACACGTTCACAGAAAGAGGGAGAAGTTTTGCGTAGTAAATTGCATTAGTGGCACCCACCCACCCCCCATTTACATTTTTCAAACAGGTTCACGTACCTCTTTTCTATTCTTATTTCTTTTCCCTGGGATTGCTTCATACTTAAGGTGTAAACACGGGGTGGTTGAAACGTTTGTGGCTTCGGGCACAAAGAGATAAGCATTATTGTTAACTTACATACAGTTCAAGTTAATGTATTTTGCTCTTTCATGAAAGCTTACAGGAGTCTGCAAATTTTGAGATTTTTGATCTCCACGGGTTGCCCTGGGTATTTAAATTCGATAGTCACGGTGCCACTATGTCCTACATGGTCAAAAACTGGGTTGTAGCGCTAGGGTTGAGAAAATGTAGCAGGGGAGGGGTGGCTATCTCAGTTGAAGAAAGTGACAGGCGTTGTTATTCGAAACAGCAAAAATGCATCAATTTAACATCAAACTGCTTGTTTGATCGTCCACAAGGGTTTTAAATATGTGCAAATTTAGCGTATAGCTTGGCTGTTTCTGTACTTCAGGCCACAAACCCATCCATCACTCCTCGTATTTAGAGAGTTCTTGACTTCCATATTATACTCCCCCCGTATGCTCGGGTTCAGGAATCTAAATATTCGGTCGGGACTCCGAATTATTTCAACATGTTACAGCAAAAGCACTTTATTTTTCCCCTCGCTTTGCGAGGCGAGCAATGAATGTCAGCAATTCCTTTGTATACAAATCACTTTAGAAATCAATACTCGACTAAATAAAACTGAGATAAGAAAACCAATACAAAAGGTCCGAAGGAGATTTCTATTTATGCACAGTGAAGTAGGCCCAAGCATTGTAAATTAATAATTAATAATAATAATAATTAATTAATTTGGCTCAGAATGTCGCCAGTTAAACTAAAGAACCCACCTTTAAGATGTTTTAACTTTGTAGTAATCTATATAATATCACAGCATGAACTTCCTTATTTTTGTAATTCTAAATCGAGCAGAATCGAACTATATTCATTCGAAAGTGGTCCTTAATATGTTTTACGTGAAAGTGTTCTTTAATTAAGTGTGACACGGGGAGACATCGCCGATAAAACAAGGATCATTGAACATTTTATCAACCTCAGAAGCAGACAGCGCCTTACTAAAGATCTTGACCTCGTCGATCAAACCAACGAAAAATTCTCCTCTCCATCCCACCCCAGCCTGACCAATGGTCAAGGGGGTCTTCTTGGAGATGATGTCTCCACGGCAACAGTCATCATCCCCAGACTGCAGCTGGTTATCCAAATAGAAGAGCAGTTGGGATCCGTTGTACGTCATGACCGCGTGGTGCCACTCTCCGATGCTGGCTGTCAAGTCGGCGTAGTTCCAAGTTGGGGCATTGTTTGCTGTGACTACCCCACCACCGAGATTCTGATTCCCTTTCATACGGATCTCCCACGAACCAGTGGTGTGGTAGCCGGTGGTAACGATTCCCTGGTAAGTGTCTTTCGATCCGGTTCTCTTAAACCAGACGCTGACACTGAACTGTGAGCCCCAGGGATAGCTGCGGAAAGCGTCCACGTCTACCTTCGTCGAGCCGTCGAAGACGGCGGCTTTACCGCACTTCCCGACAGCGTAGTTGACTCGACGGTTCGCGCTCCCATTACGACGGTTCGCCGTGGAATCTGACAGGTCATCCTCGAACGCATAATGAGCTGTGATTTAGAGTAAAGAATGGTGTTACTTTACAGCAAACAACTACCACAAAAGCGTCTATTACATAGAGATTGTATCAGTTTCTATCGTTAGCATACACGGACGTCTCTCTCAAACAGTGTCACTTCCTACAGATTGCCACGTGCTTCGTTAGACTATTTTGTGCTTCAGTTTTCGTGATGCGCATCGGTTGCGCAGTACTTCAAACACGGCATGTGCGCGATGCAGATTTACGTGGGCGTGATGGACAAGGAAAAACGTGGGCAGGGGCATGCAGCTTTTGAAATACGCGTGCGATTGACCTTGTATGTATATCATAGAGCTATCATAGAGCTATAGAGCTATCAAAGAGTTATACTCCGCGTGACCTAAAGCAACAACCAAAAGAAAGCCAAAAACTACAGTAATCCAATTTAATTGAATTTGAGCATTGGAAAACGGCCTAGTCCTTGATAAAACTTGTCCGTTATTTTTGTCTACACGACCAGGGCTACAGTGAAATCACACGCCCGCAGCCCATGTAGTTCAGGTTGCGGATTAGTCTGAACCGAAATCAATAGCCGTACCACGTGCTACAGCCGCTCGCGTATTAACGTGCGCGCACGCGTGGGACTTTTTTGCACGCGTGTCGGACACAAATCACGGCTGTGGTTGGTCAGAGCACACTTGAGGGAACCTTACAGGATCGCTCTATTTCCACCACAGCACCGCCGTGAGATTTATCGAGGTATTTCACTGTATACGGAAGTGAAGAAGAAACACAATCTGACTTTTTTCAGATTTACATCTTCCCGCTGTCTTGCTGCAAACCCTTACTGTTTGGATAAAAAAAATATACTATTCCGATTGCGATGCCCACAACACCCCCCCCCCCGAGAGGAGCCCCTCCTCAATGCATATAGTAAAAAAAAGTGGGATCTTGCGGACTTATTTTTCTTCAAGTGAGAGAGTGTCGGGGTACTCACCAACCAGGTCTTTTGAAACAACGGGAGTTTGGCGTTGGGCGAGCCAGCGGCGCATTGCCTCTTCCAGGCTTGGGCAGGTGCAGTCGTCCAGCTCGTCCAAGCTAAAGACGTAGGCACACTGGGCCGCCTCCGATACCCCTATGTTGACGGAGACAGACGACGTGGAAGCTGACACGAGCGCGGAGAGCGCTACCACAGCTAAAGCAACATAAACCATCCTGGAGAAGACACAAAGAGAGATCATCCTTCACCAAATATCAGATACACCCAGTGTGAGTTTCCGATTAGTGTATGTATCCTCTAAAGGGGTATGACCAATTTAGGTGGGGGGCACGAGGGGTGGATCCAAGGATTTGCCCAAGGGGGTCAGGCCTAGTCAGATATATTAGATCCGATCGGTACGGACAGGTGAATACATGACTAATATTATTCCTGTACAAAATAATAATAAACCCCTACAGGATGTAACCTTTTTGTAACTACAATTGTAATTTCATGTATTCCTTTTCCCTCGGTGTCAGAGCAAGGGGGTGACCCCCGAACACCTCTCCCCGGGCTCGGCGTTTGAACACCCCATATGAGTCTGGATCTCAACGAGCAGGGAAGAACTACACCCTTGAGCCTGGTTACAATATGCGCAACAACATTTTCACATGTCGCTTCCATTTCTCTTGTGTACTGTGCTGGCATCGTTCCATCGTACTACACTGTACGTGGGAAACTTACCAAAATTATCGAAGAGATCATTTGGGCATGCAAAGTCAAAGCCCACGATCATTAAATTACTTTCGTTCAGTTTTCCTTCTTCCTTTTGAGGGCTCTCCCGTGGCCCAGTCCTCATCCGCGTATGTTTCAGACTCATGACACCAAAACTTTGTGCAGACCCTTATTTTTTTTTCTTGTGCAGTACGGTGATACATCCTTGACGAGTGCTTAAATAAACACCAGTTTCTCGTTTAGGCTCAGTTAAGTTCATGACATTGTTTATCGGGCTCTGAGTTATTGGTTTCTAGTACTTTCTGCAAGACGTTCTTTGGAAAAACCACAATTAACCGTCATTTCTCGATAGTAGGTTCAGCTGTTGGTTTGGTGTTTTTCTCCTGACCCTTTCAGAGAGAGAGTGTAGGAACGTGCGAAACCACTGAGGAGGGCTACGGGGGCAGCCACTGCACCCACAAAGGAGCCTCATCTTGAAAAATTATGACAGAAGAGCGAATATTTGGTTTGTTTCCTTCAAAAGCATTTAAAAAGCTCCAAAATCTAGCATCTCCCCAACTGGAAAGGCCACATGAGGTTACTTGAATTTTTGAACCCCATACCCCCCCCCCAAAAAAAAATTCATTTTGGATCTGTACACTGGTCCCGGTTCCAAATTCCTGAGAGAAAATCCGAATGGTCCCAAAGATTCCACAATCTTGCAGTTTTCTCAGATAGCTTTTAAAGCAATCGAGGGATTCACAAAAATAATCCGGTACCGCTGTTTAGGCCTATCTTTGTGACAGGTGTTAGATGTTCCATTATGCACTGAAATTGCTTCTCGTTGCCGGACCTTTTCACTCACAAATTCATAATGCGCCCAGTTCTAGATTTCAAAAAGGCAAGGTCTTTCGGGAAGAAAGCGCCCTTGAGTCTGCGTATGGCTCCACGGATAGGGCAGGCATTTGTGCGCGCGTGCTGCTTTTCCCGAATGACCTAGGAAGCGCCAAGTTCAGTTTTGGGCACGCGCTGTTGGAATACCGAACTGGCCCATTATGACAGCAAGCGCGCATGTGAAACGTCACGCGCACAATTGATGTGTAAAAGGCATTCAAGTTAGAGCGAGAACCAGCGCGTGAACCAACACGCGCGTGTACTCCGTTCGTTTGCACTGCACTTTCTGGTTCACAGTGCTAGTGACGTCACACTTCGGTACAACACGAAATGTTAGCCGCCCATTAAAAATGTGCGGGGTAGCAAAGCCATAAACTTCATGGTTTTCTCTAACTCTAAAGAAAACTCAAAAATTCAAGCGAAATAGTGCTCAAGACTGCACCCCTGTGCATTTCCATCGGTACAATTTCAGCTGCTATGGCCATTTAATGCACATGCCTACACTGGGGAAAGATCGATACAAAAACATGTAATGTAACAAACAAGTTAAAGCCGTATAGAAGGCCATACCTGAACGTAGCCATGCCGTGATGCGTGATACACTTCAGTAAAGGCTTCTTGCCACGAATTCTGTGCACTTGCTGGTTATGTGGAGAAGCGGAGAAATGCCAGCCTTTTTATAGTCTCGAGTCGTCTTCTGGTGAGCTGGGGCACTGTGACGTCAATTGGGTGACAAAATCTATCCGGGTCCAGTTCTGCTGAAATTGCACCACCAGCTGGGTATAGCCGCATTAATCACGTCGTTGCACCGACCTTGGCCCTCGCAAGAGTGAACTGAAGTCACCTCAGGGGCTGACGTCTACTCTAGCTACACCATGCAGAAATCATGTGCAGTAGTTCTGCGAAATGTGGAATGTTCGTCCTACTTTTTTGTCTACATCCGTGTTTTATTGACTCACAGCCAACACTGAAATCCGCTTATGCTTCCCCCACCATTGGGCAATCACTGTAAACGGGAACGTTTGGTAAAAGCTAGATAAGGCCTACAACATTTACTTTTTGGGAGTCTTTTATTATTACAATCAAAAGTACTACCGAGAGAATAGTGTCCAGCTGTTGTGTTTGGGGTTGTACAAGACAAAGTGCAGATTATTCCAAAGAGAAAAAGATTTGTTCTTTAGATTTCCCAAGTGCAGAAAGGAACGAATCGAATCGGTACAGCACCGGTACATGTACATTGAACCATAGATTGAACATCAGTACGTGTTTTTACAAATGCACAGGTTGGCTCCAAGGAGGGTGTCATACTATTACTAAGAAAAGACTATCTTGTGCTTAGGAAAAATTACGATTTTTAAATCTTTTTACAGAGCAGTAAAAATTCCACTTCAATTAGAAACTAATAGCGAAAACGATTCAATGGGATTTTCCGAAGAAAAAAATGAATAAAGTCAGAAAACCTGAAAAAAATGTTCATCGAAGTCGCACCCTTGTACATTTTCAATGGCCCGCTCACACTTCTTGCCGCTAAGGGGATTTGTGCGCATGCGTGCTTAATTACGAATTTATTAGTGAACAGGTCTATTAAATCCCATCTTGCACACACAGAACCACAGCTCGAACGCAAATGACCTTGAAAAGACGTCAACTGCTTGAAACAAGGAGCCTAACATTTTGTGTCATTGTTTCCCTCGGAATTCGGTTCAATGAGATAGTTGCCATTAAGCTCACGTTGAACAACTTTGCGTTCAACGGTGAGCACTACATTCGGACCAGTGGTGTAGCTATATGGGTACACGGATGGGACCGTTATGCCTGTTTGTTGGCCGCATTGAGGAGCAGATGATGACCCACTGCAGAATCAGGGTGTGCAGCCGTTAATGTTGGCTACCGGCGATATACATCGATGATGTTGTTGGTGCTATCACCGGTACGTGTGATGACGTTGAGAATTTCTTTGCGTTCACTTAGCACTGCGCTACACATCTGATGTGTCACTACATTCTGTTACCTTCCTCGACGTGCGCGTCCAGATCTGTGCGCGGAAACTTGGCACAACCGTGCATTGCCGTAAACCCACAGATTCCCACAGCTACCTGCCGTACCAATCATCTCACCCCCTCAAGTGTAAGAACTCCATCCCTTACTCTCAGTTTCTTCGACTGCGCAGGATTTGTAATGGTGATGCGGAGTTCTCTGCTCGTTGGATGGAAATGCTAGGTTTCTTTCATTAGCGCAGTTAGCATCCGGCCATCACAGACGCTGCCTTCAACGCCGTATCTTCAATCCCGAGCGAAACGGCTTTGAAACCCACCGGGACCAAGCAACGTGATCGCGTCCCCTCGTACTCACATACCACCCTCGAAACATCCCGGTACTTAATATTCTTCTGAAACATTTTCGTACACTCGGAGATGATGCGGCCACAGCTTCCATTTTCGCCGAACCCCCGATTTGCACGTTTAGGTGCGATCGTTCTGTCGGGACATGGTTGTACGTTCCCGGTTGGATTCCGTCTCGCCGTCAAAAGCAGGCAGCAATTCCCCTTGTCAGCACCCAGATTAACACCTGCCCCTACATAGTTAACAGCCCATCGGTCGTCGGCCCCCGCGGTAGTACGCGGACATCATACATGCATTACTATTAAAGTGGTTTATTGCATTACATGTCGTCGCTGTGATAAACTGTACATCGGAGAGACCAAGCGTGTGCGCAGTGTGCGCCAACAAACACCTGGTCTCACTGTCGCGCGGCACTTTTGCGCGCCGCCACATACCCTCAGTGACGTGAGCGTCTGCATTCTGCGGAAAGCGTCATCTGATGTACAGCGCAAGGAACTGGAGCAGCGCGTCGAACTTGGAACGCTGCATCCAGGGGGATGAACGTGGATTTTTCCGTATTCATTCAGAACTGAATCTGCTTGCCCTGAAGAAGGTACTCAGTTACCGAAAGCTCGGCAATCACATATTTCAGGTCACTGATTTTATATTATTATATTCTTGTCGATATACCAACAAAATACGCCCTCTTTTGTTCCGCTCCGGATAAGCCAGGCCATGAGGCACTCCGTGCATGACGTCACTACGCAAAACTCACGCTGCATTGAAAACCAACACAGATAAATGGCGGACCGGCTACGGACAGCCGAGGCGCGGCACGCCTGAAACAACACGTGGGTGACGTGCGGTGGTACACATGCACGTGAGTGACTCTAGCGCACGGTGGTCGCTTTAATCCGTTTATAATCGCGACTTTGTGTATTATCAAGACAACACATAAGACATTAGTCTCTGAGGAATCGCTGGCACACCTACGTGATATGGAGTAAGCACAATGTATTTGGCTTTTATTATTCCACACTTATTATGGTATACTTCACAGGATAGGCCCTAGACGTTGAGTACCCCCAGAACTGTGGGGTCCGACATCCGCTTCTCTTGGGAGAGGAGCGGACGTCGGACCCCACAGTTCTGGGGGTAGACCTTGAGACCATGGAGAAAGGAAAAGACCATGTTGAGACTAATCCTAGCCTAAACCTCGGAGTAGGACTAGGATCAACACTTGGCATGCCTTCAGTACATGTGCATGGCCCGTTTCTGTGAAAATGA